CTTGCCCTGTCCGACGTCTCCCTTCACCCACTTTTCGGTTGTCTGTCCCCCAGGGAGGAGGTCACATATAGTTCCTTGTAATCGGTTCCCTCTTTCCGCCACCATCATTTTCAAAACATTTTCTTATCTTCATGCTTTGTTTTTAAGAGAAACTCTTGTAAGCAGCTTCCCCCTAATTCATACACAGTTAATATAATCTGTCGACTATAAATATTCTTTCACAACCCGACTTTAAACATGCGCTTTAAACCCCACTAAAGGACCTTGATGATTACCCATTGCTAACCTGGTCTTTTATGGTTGGTTTCATAATGTTCTTATCTGGACTATAAAACCCCTTTTATCTGGCAGAGGAGGTGACTTGGTGGTTTGTTTTCTTGGGCAAAGTCTTAGATTAGATTTACTGAAATGTAAAAAGAATGAGTTTAAAAACTGAACCTTTAAGAACACACCAGAGATTGTTGGGACAATCACTAAAAGTGGTACATTAAATCAATGTTAAATTTCTTGAATTAGATAACCAAACTGTGGTTATGTAAGGGGAAATAACATACTAAAGGTTTGAATCAATAATGTGACTAAAGTGATATATGCAGCTCTGCCCAAATGGTTCAGAAAAAGAAGTACAAGAGTGTATGTGGCTGGGCTTTGAACCCATTCATTAGGGCTCAACCCTCTACAGAGAATTTCCATTTCCATCACTGACTTAGACTCTACATTTTAACAAGCCTCTTATGTACATATGTGAATCCCCTGCGGGGAGAGCGGTACTATAAGAATCTTATTAAAATGTAGTGCAGTATTACCTACATGCAAATGCTGGCTCTCAGAAGAGAGCTGAGCAGGTTCAGAGTCCTGGCGTACACACGAACAGAGATGGAGAGAATAGTAGAGCAAAGGTGACAATGTTGGCATGTGTGTAAAGAGCCCTTGAATATTTCTGTACCAGTTTTTACAACTTTTTTGTACACTCAAAATTATTTTAAAGTAAAGTTAACCTGATTTTTTCCAAAAATTTATTTTATGATAAATTAGAAGCTCTACGTAAAATCACTGTTTTTGTGTGTGTGTAGTAGTTAAATGTAGGACTTTTTTGTCCCCTTTAAATTATGGTTAATTGTTTTAACTTGACCCAGTGTCCAAGTTACCTAGTACTGCTGTAACAGAAATAGCACAAGTGGTGGCTTCAGCAAGCAGAAGTTTATTTCTCAACAGGCCCCCAGGGGAAGACTTGTTCTCTGTGTGGGGTGTTGGAGGAAGGCCCTGGCACTGAGCGTGTGCTCCTGGGGGATCGTCCTGCACGTCGGCATCTCTTTCTCTTGCCCCACGCCTTCCTATTGGCTTGCTTGTTTAATTTCTTTTACAATGTAAAAATTTAAAGTTCTTTTTAAAGAGATTTACTCAAGATTCATCCTACCGCTTCAGTAACATAACAAAGGCAACCTAGGCACTTGAGTCTGTAACTGGCATCATAGATGTTAAACATTAAACATACTTGGGGAGGGGGGCACACAATTCCTTCTTTAAGACTCACATTCATAACTTATTTATTGTGAATGTTTGATTCTAGAATACATGACAATTATATGAAATGATGTTTCTTTTAAATTTTCTTTACAGGGGAACCTTTACAAATAGATCATTTGGTTTTTATAGTCCATGGGATTGGACCAGCTTGTGATCTCCGCTTTCGAAGCATTGTCCAATGTGGTAGGTTTGTAAAGCATGTCGATTAGATGGTCTAAGGCAAGTAGTCATCAGGGGTCCAATGAGCTAAGATAAAGTGTTATCTGGGGTCTGTTGTCTTGGCCGCATAATAAGATTTGGAGAGCTAAAGACAGGTGGCAAAGTACTAAAGCTCCCCAGCTAAGACTCTTAAGTGCTGGCACATTCCTAAAGCTTAGCTTATACTCTGAACTAATCATTCTTGAATGCAAAAGACATTAATCCATATAAAAATTTGAATGAGGTGATGATCCTATTTCCTATCACTCTAAAGATAAAGAGAAACATGAAGATGAATGAATGAATGGTTTAATTGAAGAGGTAGATTAAAATTCATGAATGATTTTATTCTAATTTTGCTGATTCATGGCTTCACTGTTGACACAGAGTTTTCTTTTCTAGTGAATGATTTTCGCAGTGTTTCCTTGAGCCTGCTGCAGACCCATTTTAAGAAAGCCCAGGAAAATCAGCAGATTGGGAGAGTAGAATTTCTTCCAGTCAACTGGCACAGTCCTCTGCATTCGACGGGTGTGGATGTGTGAGTAGCGCCTTCCCCCAATGGTTCACCGTGATTGCGGTGCTTTCTGTTAATTCAGATGCTTGAGGACATTTCTGGTGTAGCTGCTTGTGCATTTACATTTTTTGACAAAATGCTTTTGTGTATTTCTGTCTTTCTAGAGATCGCATTATTGATATTGGTCAGTCCTTTGCACCCCCCAGCCCTGGTGAGCAGCAGAGCTGTAGCTTCTTCTAGTTTCTCTAGTTTCCTTAGTATCTCTTCCTGGAGTTTCCGTATTCCTTCATCACTAAAGCTAGTCGTGCCTTTTTCTCATAGTGTATCCCCTTTTCATCCTTCTGTGTGAAACACCAAGCACATCTCGAGGTTTCCAAAGTGCTTTGTGGTTCCTGTTTGCTTATATTGAAGCCACACTTGTTCATGTTAAATAAAGCAGGAAGGAAAGCCCCAAACATTACATTACTAGCACTGTAACTTGAGGTCTGGTTGGGGTGATAGCTCGTTACAAGGTCAGTAGTCTTGTTTTGTGGCATTGACAGAAAGCTTGCCTTGTATCAAGGAAATGGAGCTTTGGACTCCCCAGGGGAGAGATGTGCTCCTAAGATAGCTAGAGGAGAGCAGGAGAAGGCAAGCTGCTCCTCTGGAAGACTAAAGGAAAGCCACGTTCTGACACAGCAACCATGCCCATGTGAATAGCGAGCACACACAAATAATAGGCGGGCTGATGGGATTATGTAAAAAACAGTCTGACATTTTCTGAAGTACACGACATCTCATTTCGTAGTCTGAAATGTTACTTTTCTTCATATTTATATAAGAAGGTATGTCATGCTTAAGTCATGGATTCTGTTTTGGGAGTCGGTCAATAATCAGAAAATCGACAGTTGAAATGTGGGTGTGCTCTTGGGCAGTTTACCACTGGGCCTGAGAGCAGAGGGGTTTCTTGAGCCAGTCTGCCCCCAGGTAAGTCGTGCGGTGAGAGCTGCAGTGGGATCCCCACAGCCCGAGCACAGGCTGAAGGTACAGCCAGCAGGGGCCACTGTCCACGTGACACTGAACCACTGGCTGGGCCTATGGATCCTCTGGGCACCCAGGTGGCTGGCTGTGTTTATCCCAGTGAGGCCACACCCCCTCTGCACACCCACCTCCATCCGGCCATCTGTGTGGACAGGCCGGCAGCTTCAGGTGGCTCCAGCGAGGGGATTGGCCTTGCTCACCTGAGTGGCCTTCCCCCTTAGCCTCTGGCGGATGGCCCAGGGAGAAGGCTGTCTTTTGCACAGGCAAAGGCATTTCTTTTGGTACTGTAGAAAATGGCTTGCAGAGCAGGGAGGAATCCTGCTGGGAGAGGGATTGCTCTAGAAACCGAGGGCAGGCTGGGGAGGGCGCTGCTGAGAATCAAACCTCAAGAAAGGAGGAAAGAAACGGACGTCATCAAATGTAAAAAATCAACCTTGTGCAGTGCACTTAGGAGAGTAACACGGGAGCGGTTTGTGCACGTGATTCATGTAAATACGGTAGTTGGAGTGGTTGCCATGCCAGTCCTAGAAATGGGCTTCCTGATTGTTTGTTTCCTGCAGTTCTTAATAGTCTGAGGTTTGAGCTGTTCCGTGTGCGGAGTGCTCTTTCTGGTGTTGCTAGGTGATAGATAAGAAGTCCGTGTTCTTTCGCATTTGAGCGGAAGCTGAGAGGTTTATGCTAAGGCAGCGGCTCTGTTGAAAGCGCAGAAGCACCGAAGCGGAAAGCGAATTTTGAGAATGATGAGGGCAACGAATGTATAAGTGTGCTTTACACATTGATGTATGTATGATTGTGATAAGAGTTGTATGAGCCCCAATAAAATGATTTAAAAAAAAAAAAAGAAAGCGCAGAAGCTACTGAGTCATTGAGGAATGGGGTGGGGGGCATTATCAAAAAAGCTTCCACGGGAAGTTGATTTCGGCTATGCCAGCTGGTCTTCCTTTGCCAAATAGGAGTTTTGTTTGCTTTTGTGTGTCATTCTTACTGTTTTGCTTTTTGAAATTTTGCATTGAGAGAGGAAGCTTGATGATCCTTTTATCACTTGACTTGTGGTGCATTAAAAAATCTTAATGAATTTCAGGAAAATTTCAGGAAAAGCATCTTGTATTCTTTTTTATCACAGTAATTGGAAAATATGTGCTGTGTGTGTGTGTGTGTGTGTGTGCTTTAAAAAGTTTGTGGAAAATGGACCCAAAGGTTAATGTAATTTTTCTACAAACTTTTTGAAGCCCACTAGGCACAGTGCGTTATGCACTGGGCTACTCACCACAGGGTTAGCAGTTCGGGACCACCAGCCACTCTGAGAACGATGTCTTTCTACTCCTCTTACAGGCTGGGAAACTGGCAGGGGCAGAATTGACTCAAGGGCAGTGAGTTTTGTTTTAATTTGTATTCACTGCCCTCTCAGTATTATTTTTGAAACAACTCTTAAACATGTAGTTTCATCTGTGAATATTTCAATTTGTATATGGTAAAGAACTAAAAAAAAAACCCTATGACACCATTATCACAATTGACAGAATTGTTGAATATTGTCAATATCCAGCTGTTGTTCAGATTTCCAACTGCCAAATAAATGTCATACACACAGAGCTGTGCACACACGTATTTTAAAATGGGATCCAAATAAAGCCCCTAAGTTGTGATTGGTTGATATGTGCATTAGGTCTCTTTCATCTTTTGATTACCTTTCCATTGCTCTTATTTTCTTTAAATTTATGTACTGGAGAACTGGGTTGTTTTGAGAGGTAAACTGAGGCACAGGGAGGTGGACAAAGATAATTGAAAGGACAAGGGAGAGCAGAAACAGAAATAGCTGTATTAGTGGGGAGCTCCCTCCCAGGGGAAGCCCCATGGTCTAGCAAGTAGCCCAGGGGAATCGTGGACTTTGCCTGGGGTCCAGAGTTTTTAAAGGACAGTGGGGAGAGGGGGGTTTGTGCTGCCCAGGAAAGTTTATGGCCTAGGATGTAGTTTATCAGCTCTGGCAGGCAGGGCGACCGGTTGTCAGGGAGTCAGGCATTGTTCTTCCGTCTCCTCATTTCAGGGGGGCAGTTGCTGACCTCCAGGGATGTGCAAGGAAGTGGGGCCCTGACCTACTGCTGCTCAGTCCAATCAGTTTTTTTTTTCTTTTTAAATTATTATTATTTTAAAAAAATCATTTTATTGGGGCTTGTACAACTCTTACCACAATCCATCCATCCATCCATTTTGTCAAGCACATTTGCACATTTGTTGCCTTTTTTTTTCTACGTGAGCCCTTGGTATCAGCTCATTTTTTCCTCTCCCTCCCTGTCCCCCCTCTCTCATGAACCCTTGATAATTTATAAATTATTATTATTTTGTCATATCTTACACTGTCCGACAGTTCCCTTCACCCACTTTTCTGTTGTCTGTCCTCCGGGGAGGAGGTAATATGTATATATGTATATATATATGTATATATATGTGTATATATATATATGTATGTATATATATAAAACCTTTCTCCATCACCTTCCCTCCACCCTCCGGTCTCGCCACTCTCACCACTGGTCCTCAGGGGATTATCTATCCTGTTTCCAGTTCCTATCTGTACCAGTGTACATCCTCTGGTCTAGCCAGATTTGTAGTGGTAGAATTGGAATTATGATAGTGGGGGGAAGGAAGCATTCAAGAACTAGAGGAAGGTTGAATGTTTCATCCTTGCTACACTGCACCCTGACTGGCTTGTCACCTCCCCATGACCCTGCTGTAAGGGGATGTCCAGTTGCCTACAGATGGACTTTGGGTCCCCACTCCGCATTCCCCCCTCACTCACAATGATATGATATTTTGTTCTTTGATGCCTGATACCTGATCTCATCAATACCTCATCATCACAGGGTGGTGTGCTTCTTCCATGTGGGCATTGTTGCATCTCACCTAGATGTTCACTTGTTTATCTTCAAGCCATTAAGACCCCAGATGCTAGATCTTTTGATAGCCAGGCACCATCAGCTTTCTTCACCACATTTTCTTATGCACCCACTTTGTCTTCAGCCATTGTGTCGGGAAGGCGAGCATCATGGAATGCCAGCCAGTTTAATAGAACAAAGTATTCTTGCACTGAAGGAGTAATTGAGTGGAGGCCTAATATCCATCTGCTACCTTAATACTAAACCTATAAATATATGCACATAGATCTATTTCCCCATCATTATATATAAACATATTCACATATGTACATGCCTTTATTTAGACCTCTATAAATGTCTTTTGCCTCCTGGTTCTTTCCTCTATTTCCTTTTACTTTCCTCTCGTCACACTATCATGCTCAGCCTTCATTTGGGTTTCAGTAATTCCTCTGGGTTTCATTGCCCTTGATCCAGCCCTAGCAGGCCTCTTACACCCTCCTCACCACCGACTTTGGATCACTTGTTCCTTTTCCTGGGTTTGTTAACACCCACTTCCTTTCCCCTACCTCCCTCTCTCCCATGTCCCCCCAGAACTGTCAGTCCCGTTGTTTGCTCCTCCAGATTGTTTACCCCGCCTATCTTACCTAGATAGACCTGCAGAGATAATAATATGCACAAAAACAAGACAGAGCAAAACAAAGCAACAAAAGAAAACAAAACAACAACAACAAAATGACAAAAACAAAAAGAAAAGCCTGTAAATAGTTCAAGGTCTGTTGACCTTTAGGAGTGTTTTCCGGTGGAGTCTGATGGGGTGCCACACCCTGGCCCCAAAGTCTATTTTTGGTACTCCCTCGGGACTTCCTTGCTCTGCTCCCTTTGCCTCAGTGTGGTGGTGGGGGGTTGTTTTTCCGTGCAGCGTTTCTCACATTGAAATTTGATGTTGTTTTTAAAAAAATGAAAAATTTGCTGTTATTAATCATGTTCCTCGATCCTCTGTATTTCCTATCAGTTGATAGCTGTCCCTTATCTAAATCTAAACTTTAAGGCCAAGCTAGATAATGTCTCAGAGATGGCTATGGAATGTATGTAGGGTTTCTGCTTAAAATGCCTTTCCTTTTTTTCCAGAGACCTGCAGCGCATAACGCTGCCCAGCATTAATCGGCTCCGACACTTCACCAATGACACCATTCTGGACGTCTTCTTCTACAATAGCCCCACCTACTGTCAGACTATTGTGGACACGGTTGCTTCTGAAATGAACCGGATCTACACACTTTTTCTGCACAGGAACCCTGATTTCAAAGGGGGTGTATCCATTGCTGGTCATAGTTTAGGTAACATGAATTCTCTGTGCCCAGAGAAGAGTGCCACATTTTCAGGACACCTGTTTTTGAAGCACGGTGTTTGTTTTGTTTTGAATCAGTATCATATTCAGGGTCTACAGTGTTTTCTGGTGAAGGTTTAGGAAGGGTCTTGAGGGTGGTGGTGGAGACCCCTTGCTTTGTCGACTTGTTTACTGAGGTGATTTTGGGTTCTTGCTATTTTTAGTAAAAGCCATTTAGTGCTAATGCTTAGAGACTGTTCATTTTTTCTTCTATTTTTCTTTTAGGTTCACTTATATTGTTTGATATCCTAACAAATCAGAAAGATTCTTTGGGGGATAATGACACTGAAAAGGTAATTTAGATGTCCAGATAGTTCTTGTATTCTTTTGTTGAAAATTTAGACTTATTTTTAGTAGCGTTTAATCTTATACCATGGCCTTAAATTTATTTATTTATTTATTTATTTGCCTTAAATTTATTTTAATAAATTTTATTTTATTAAACTTAGTTTTAATTTTAACAGACTTATATTACTGTCATTTTTAGATAACAGAAGCAAGACAGTAATATGCTTCTACAAATATTGCCACATTCTAGAACAGTCGGCATTTTATTGTCTAGTATGAGTGTGCACTACTGGTCTATTATTAGAATGACAGACTTGGCTGGCGAGGAGCTTGCATATGAAGAAATGAAGAATCCATTGGATGCAAATCAATCTGAGTTCCAGAAACTCTGTTGTAAAGCAGTGGGGGACTTGCCGTTCAAACACCCTTTAGTCAAGCAGTCCTGAAGGCACCTCTCATCTGTGTGACTTACTGGGCACTCAGCATCCAAGATCGTGTTGTCTCTCTTTATGTGAATGTTGTGTTTTTCTGCCCACCCATGGGTGCTTCCTCGGGGCAGGCCGTGCCTGTTTACAGCTCAGGCACTGCTTTTCTGGTCATTGCTCACTCAGTGTCTTTGAGCAGTGGTGATGAATGTTGGGCAATCATTGAGTCACTCATTCATTCTCTTGAAAACTCAAGTGAAGTTGCAAAAACTTTGACCACTTGCCTTCAATTTATATTTTGTCTATATGAAAATTACTTAAAGTTAAGATATGTCTGTGTGTGAAAATATTATGTAATGTCTTTATCACAAGATAGTTTTAGTAAGGAAATATTGCTGAAATACAAATTGAGAAACACGACTTTCACAATTTCATTTGTAGGCATCCCTAAATATTGATATGGCTCAAGGAGACACCCCGACATTAGAGGAAGCCCTGAAGAAGCTGCAGCTCTCTGAATTCTGTAGTGTCTTTGAGAAGGAACAAGTAGACAAAGCAGCTCTGGTAATAGTCATCTTAAAAGTGTTCTGCTTATCATCTTTGTATTTTAGCTGCTTATCTTTGTACTGCTTACTAAGAGCCTGCCCTTTAGTAGCTTTTGAGTCATAAATATTTTGTTATCATTGGCAAGATTCTTTATCAATACTTACATATTTAATTATAGAAAATAATAGATTTGCTAGGGGGAGTTCAAAGTTCAGCATGAGCAACATTAATATACACATAGCAAAAGGGCAAAGACTAAGCAGCTTGCCAACGAGAGATGTGAGAGCAAAAACCCTGTAACTAACTCCAACCCTTATCTAAGTCTATTATAATTTCAAGGCTTGACTGTGCTGTTGGTTTGTTTGCCACTTATTTTACTGTACTTTTTTTCTGGTGTGTGACCACATTGATTTATTTGACAGATAGTTAGGAAATGCTTACTACACGATCAGGCAGACCATGTCAAGTCTAGAGACAGAGTAGTGGGTCAAACAGCTCTGACATGGACACAGACAGGGATTGTGTAGTTTAATGGGGAAGGCACACATGACATGACGCAAGGCACACATCGCACAACTAATTCCACTTGTGGCTAAGTTTTAATTAGAAAAAGCCCAGCGTGATGTCAGGCCATATAACAGGATTGAACTCACCTAGTCCAGAAGGGGAGAGTCAGTCTGCTCCCGAGTTCTCTGCTCTCTGTCCTCACTGCTGGGCCTGCAGTCTGCCAGGAGGGGACAGCTGTCTGTTAGTGAGGATTGAAATCAAGAATGGAGTCACTACTGTAAATGTGATTTTCTAGTAGTTGTGTTTTTGATTTTAACATAAGCACATGTTGTATTACTGGGGCATGATACTTATTATTTGTCTTTAGGCTTTCTTTTTTTTTTTAACATTTTATTAGGGGCTCATACAACTGTTATCCCAATCCATACACACATCAATTGTGTAAAGCGCATTTGTATATCGTTTCTCAAAACATTTTCTCTCCATTTAAACCCCCGACATTAGGTCCTCATTTTTCCCCTCCCTCCCCGCTCCCCCCTCCCGCATGAGCCCTTGATAGTTTATAAATGGGTATTTTGTCATATCTTGCCCTGTCCGACGTCTCCCTTCATCCACTTTTTGGTTGTCTGTCCCCCAGGGAGGAGGTCACACACAGCTCCATGTAATCGGTTCCCTCTTTCCTACCCCTTCTCCCTTTACCCTCCCTGTTTTGCCACTCACACCACTGGTCCTATAGGGCTCATCCGTCCTGGATTCCCTGTATTTTCAGTTCCCATCTGTACCAGTGTACCTCCTCTGGTCTAGCCAGTCTTGCAAGATAGGATTCGAGTCATGGTAGTGGGAGCGGGGAGGAAACCTTTAGGAACTAGAGGAAGGCTGCACTTCTCATCATTGTTACATCACACCCTGACTGGCTCATCTCCTCCCCAAGACCCCTCTGCAAGGGGATCTCCAGTGGCCTACTAATGGGCTTTGGATCTCCACTCCGTCTTTAGGCTTTCTTATCAATAAAGTAGTCTTTTCTTCTTGAAGTGTTTAAGGATATGCCACTAGGAAGCCAGAGCGGTGTAAAGGAGTGAATAACAGAGTGGCAGGGGTCAGGACATCTGGTGTAGTAGGTTTTGTCTAGAATTAAAGATATTTGGTTTTCTTCGTCTAGGCTTTATGTACAGACACAGACCTTCAGGAAATGGGCATCCCCTTAGGACCAAGAAAGAAGATATTAAACTATTTTAGGCCTACAAAAACTCCAACGGTATGTCCTAATATAGTTATTGGACCAAACAGTTCTTTGATGTGTATGGGGTATCCTCTTATGATTTGTGGGTGTCGGTCAGTATTCTGAGGAGCTAAGCAAATATGTTAATTCATCTTTGGCTCTCATTTTGGAAAAGAAATACAGTTTCGTTATTCAGATCCTTAAAAATGTTACTGGTATCAGAAGACATTCCCACCACTATTCCTATCATTCAAGTCTCCCCTCCCCTACCTTAAAAAACAAACAAAAACCCAATATTAAACTCAACTGACTGCCATGGCGTCAATGCGGACTCCTAGTTAACCTATAGGACAGGGTGGAACGGCCCTTGTGGGTCTCTGAGACTAACTCTTATTGGAGTAGACAGCCCCTCTTTTTCCCAAGGGTTCCCATAAACCTTTACTGGACAGAATATGCCATAAAATGTACCTCTGTAAAGGGCACAGTTCTGGGGGGGCAGCATGTTCAGAACTGTGTGACTGCCTCGCAGTAAACAGTTGCTCTCAAGCTGGCTCCATCTCCTGACGACGGGCTGTGTACAAGGATGGAACTGTGTCCTTGAGACTCTTCACTGCCTGGTTTTCTGTAGGCAGAAAACCCAGAAATGCTTCTGGGCGGATGTGAACTTCTAACCTTTTGGTTAGCAGCCAAGATTGTTAACAGTTTGCTCCACCAAGGACTCTGCAGCCATTCCCGCTACCCTATTCCAGAACATTCCCATCATCCCAAAAAGAAACTCCATACTCATCAGCAGTCACTCCCCACATCTCTCTCCCCCACTTCATGGCACCCTGTAGTCCGCACTCGGCCTCTGTGGGTCCTCTGTTCCAGACAGTTCATGAAGATGGAATCGTGTCTCAGTGACTGGCTTCTGAACTTGGCCCGATGTTTCCCAGGTTCATCAGTGTTACAGCATGTGTCAGGTCTCTCTTTCTACCAGTTTTCCTTTTTCGTGGCCATTGTTTGTCTATCCAGATCCAACTTTTTAGCATGTGGCTCAGTTGTTCATTAAGGTTTCTTCTATCTTGGTCCAGTATTGGCACCATTTTCTGTACTTGAGATTTTCCTTGATTGGAGAAGCCGTCCTCAACATGCCTTCCCACGATTCTCAACTGCTGTTTCCCTCCATCGTTGCTTACAATTCAGCTGCTACCCAATGCAAGTTGTACTGTCTTCGTATACATAGGATGTTGATTTATAACTTACGGCAATTGTTTTCATCTTGTTTTCTGAGGGACTCCCCAGAGATTTATTGGCTATCATTTCATAACTTTCTCCAGGGTCTTTTCAAGCAGGTAGAATACTGTTTAGTTCTCTAGCTATAATTAGTACATGGCAGCTCCACAGAGCTATTTTTTATTGTTTAGGGTATTAATAGACCATCCCCGCAATCAGCTTCAGGGACGAGTATGTCTAACGCCCCCAAAACATCTGAGTCCGGCAACGATGGCTTTCTGGATGTTGGCATTGGGCAGGTAACAGTACTACTCCTCTCTGGCCATTTTATGCCCGTCATTGGGAGGGCAGGGACTTCGTGGCTCGTGTTATGAATGAGAGCAGCATTTATTTCCTCGTTTCAGGGATCCGTGAAATACCCTCGGCTCATCTACAAGCCAGAAATATTCTTTGCCTTTGGGTCTCCCATTGGGATGTTCCTTACTGTCCGAGGACTGAGAAGAATTGATCCCAACTACAGATTCCCAACATGTAATGGTTTCTTCAATATTTATCACCCTGTAAGCATTACACAGATATTGCGGTTTTACCTTAGTAGCTTGGCTGCTTGGTAACGAGCGTATAATTTTCTGTTGTTGTTGGACTTGCTTTGTTTTCTGTACTGTTTTGCAGTAATGAGACCACTTATAATAGTGCTAATCTCGAAGCACTGAAGCAGAACATGTGTACCTTTTCCTAGTGATTTTAGAATTACTTTTGCTTGACAGTGTGTAGTTTTCTCGACTCTCTCTAGCAGAGGTAAACGCCCCTGTTATTTTTGTTATGTAGTTTGATCCTGTGGCCTATAGGATTGAACCAATGGTAGTTCCAGAAGTGGAATTTGAACCGATGCTGATCCCACACCACAAAGGCAGGAAGCGGATGCACTTAGGTAAGTTGAAGGACAGAACTGCCGGCCATGCACACTTAGCTCATGCTGTTCAGCGGGGTTGGGCCCTCAACTCTTGGTAAGCTGTTTAATATTCTCCACTCCTTGTGTTCCAGAACTTCGAGAAGGCTTGTCCCGGATGAGTATGGACCTGAGGAATAACTTGCTGGGCTCCCTGAAGATGGCCTGGAAGTCTTTCACCAGAGCGCCATACCCAGCCTTACAAGCTGCTGAAACTGTGGGAGACGCTGAAGCAGAGCCGGAGTCCCGTGCAGAGAAGCCCAGTGGTCAGTGATTTCTGACCACAGGCCAGGGCACGTTAGGGCGTGGAGCTCTTGTTCTGCTAGGGCCTTCTTCTCTGTCCCTTTTTATTGAGTGAGACCTATTTTATGGGTCCTGTTGGCTGGGCTCTGCCAGCCATCACTGTCAGCTTCTAGCCACAAATGATGGAAAATGAGTAATTGTGAGGAAAATGCTAAGAGAAAGTAAGCATTGGATCTAGACTTTAAAACTTTCCCCAGTTGCAAACTGTGCAATTGTTATGAGCTTACTCTGCCATCCTTAGTCAGTTCACGTCTAGCCAGGGCACATGTTCTTCACAGAACAGTGAACATTACTGTCCTCTGCTTTAGTGTCTAACTTCATGCAGAGCGCCACTCCGGCTCGCATCTTGTCTGCAAATGCAGGCAAATGAATGAGGTATGGGCAATGGGAAGAGCACACGGAAGAGGGATAAAACTGGTGTGACCCAAGGAGTAGACCAGCTCATCTGGTACACTTGAGTCGGGGGATCCAAGGCTTGAGGCTCTGACTGTGGTTCCTGTCTCCAGATGTTAACACTGAGGAGACGCCGGTGCCAGTTAATGAAGTCCCATCTATCAACGTGGGAATGCTGAATGGCGGCCAACGCATTGACTATGTGCTGCAGGAGAAGCCCATCGAGAGTTTCAATGAATATTTATTTGCTTTACAAAGCCATCTGTGCTACTGGTAAGTGAGAGTTTTGGTTCTGTTTCTGTTGCTTCTTTTTGGTCTATTTCACAGGTATTTGAGAGAAGTGGGGATAGGCCAATGTATATTTTTCCGTAGTGAGGTGGGAGCTAGACCTATTAGTCACTTAGAAAGTTACAAAGTAGCAGTGTCACATAGGTATTGAAAGAAATCTCAGTTAAGCTTGTTGCTGTTTTATTTCCTTACAATTGATTAGAGCATAGGTCAGCAAACTTTGGAGACAGAGAGCTAAGCTAATCTTGGCCCTCACTAAAATTTAAAGTTTATTCGAGAGCCACAAATGTTTTTACAAACAAATGAAATCACCATGATTTTAATCATATTCTTTAAAATTTTTCAATTTGACTCTAGAGCCCTGTGTACTTCCTGGAAAAGAGCCACAGTTTGTTGAGCCTTGGGTTAGATCGTGGGCCAGGGAAGCCAGCAGCTCTGAGTGCCATCGGCTCAGTCTGAAGATGCGTTTCCTCATGGCCATGGTGGGACCAGATGGTGCCTGTCAATGAGCTAGAACAGAAGCATTCCTATCACCAACAGAATTTTTAAAAAATCACTGTTAATTCAATGTTGAAGACATTTATGGTAGCTAGAGCAAAATTAATTTTTATTAAATATAATTGATTTGGTTTGTAAAATGGATTGATAGTGCTTCTTGAAATAAATAGTCTAACAACATCCAGCTTAATCATTGAATAAGTTGGTGAAGACAGTAAAGCTCAGACTGTTAAGTCGGGTCAGGTCTGAGGTAAGTGTGAGTAGGTCATGTGTTCGGTTCCTGCAGAGGTGGACCGGGTATCAGTTGAGCTTTCTAGCAAAGAGAAGAAATATGTCTAACTAGATCCAGAGTTTTCATAAGACAGAAACAAATGAAACTAAGGAAAAGTCACTTTTGTGTTGATGTATATATGTAGGAGTTTCAAGAAATTTGTGAGAAAATGAAATGGAAAGATACTGGAATTTTTTCCATGAACTTTTGTGAAGCCCCTCATATGCTTGGGTTTTCGTTATTTTTTTCCTGGTATTCTGACTGATTAAGGGCTTACCATATATACTCGAGTATAAGCTGAGCTGAGTATCAGCCGAGGCATCTAATTATACGACAAAAACTGCATTAAAAATGTGCTGAAATACTCGGCTTATACTCAAGTATACATGGTATAATTATAATATAATTATATATTATACCAGGTATAACCTGGTATAATCAACACCAGATAATACATGTAATAGAAGCAATGGCAGAAACCAAAGTGCACTTTCACCAGGGGCCAAAGTAAAGCTGTCCAGAGATGACCTCTGCTCATCTTGCTTGATAAAATCTCTGAATAAGTTTGTTTAAACTTTGTGTGTGGGCAGTATATTCATAGGGTTCAAAATGTAAAGAAAGGTCGTAATGGGAAGCTCTCTTCTACTGAGTTCCCTGCTTCTCACTCCCTTCCCCAAATCGCTAACATGTATTTCCTAAAATCTTCTCTCAGAAAGAGGTTTTATGTACATTTGGTGCATGTATGCGTGAATACATTCTTTCCTCCTTAAAGAATACAGATAGTACTATAGGCATTTCTGGATGTCTTACTTTTTCTGTTAGTGTATCTTGGAGTTTTGGACCTATTATACGTCGAGAGTTTACCCATCTCTTTTAGCCGCATACTATTCCACTGATAAAGGATGTGTAGTACTCCATTGTATGTATGTACCACTGTGTTTTGATCCATTCGTCTGTTGATGGAAATTTGGGTTGTTTCCAACTCCTTGCAATTATGAACTGTTGCCGTGATGAACATTGGAGCACAGATGCCTGGCTGTGGTTTGTTTCTTGCCTCTTCTGGGTATATGCCCAGTAGGGGGATTGCTGGGTCGTGGTAGCTCGATTTTCTTGTTTTAGAATGGCTATACATACCTACAGGTCCACCAGAAGTGGACAAGACTTTCTATCTCCCCACAGCCCCTGTTACTTTCTGACTTTTTGAATTAGACTATCTTTGAGGGTGTTAATTGGTATCTCATTGTTTTAATTTGCATTTCTCTTATGGCTAATGATCGGGAACATTTTCTCATATATTTATTGGCCATTCAGATTTCTACCCTTATGTTCAGGTCCTTTGCCCACCTCCTTAGTGGGCAGTTAGTTTTTTCCTTATTGTAAGCTTGCAAAGTATTGTAGATTTTAGTAATAAGGTGTTTGTCTGGTGTGTCATTGCTAAAGATGTTTTCCCAGTCTGTGGACTCTTTTGTTACTCTCTTGGTGAATTCTTTCGATGTACACAGGTGTTTTATCTTCAGTATATCCAACTTGTCAATTTGTGACTCCTCTGTATTTGTATCCTTCCCTATTTCCGATAACCTACGTATTCCCTGTGCCAAGGATCTCAGGTTTGTCCCAATTCCCTCATTAATGGCCCTAAGAGTTTGAGGTTTTACCTCAAGGTCTGTGATCCACCTTGAGTTTATTCTTGTGCATGGAGTGAGGTAGGGGTCTTGCTTCATTTTTCTGCAGGTAGATATTCACTTTTTCCAGCACCACTTATTGAAGAGGGCATCTGTTTCCCATTTGGTATTTTTTGGTCCCTTATCAAAAATCAGTTGTCTGTATGCTGATATTTTTATTTCTGGGTTTTCAGCTCTTTTCCACTGGTCTGAATATCTGTCATTATACAAGTACCACACTGTTTTGACCACTGTGACTGTGTATGTGCTGAAGTCAGGTAAAGCAAGCTCTCCCACTCTGTCCTTCTTGAGGAGTTCTATAATTCTGGGCTTCTTCCCCCCATCTAAATCTGGTAATCAGTGTTTCCAGTCTTTGAACAAGGATGATGATCTTCGTATAAGGATAGCATTAAACATATAGTGCCTTGGGCAGAACTGACATCTTTACTATATTGAGTCTTCCAATCTACGAGTATGGAATATCCTTCCATTTGTTGAGGTCACTCTTGGTTTCTTGTAATAGTGTTCTGTAGTTTTCCTCGTACAAATCTTTTGTTTTTCAGTCAGGTATATCCCTAGATATTTCAATCTGTGCTTGGCTATTGTAAAGGGTACTACCTTTTATTGCCTCTTCTTTGAATATGTCTGATGTGTATAGCAGTCTGATACACTTCTGTTTGTTGATCTTGTATCCTTACACTCTGCCATATTCCTCTATCACTTCCAACACTCCACTTGTGGAGTTTTAGGGGATTTTCCATATAAAAAGTCACATCGTCTGTGAATAACGTTTTGCCTCATCTTTCCCCAGACTAATACCTTTGATGTCTTTTCTTTGTCTTATGTTGTTAGCTAGGGCCTCCACTACAATGTTAAAATAGGAAGGGGATAAGGGGCATCCTTGTCTGGTCCCCTTTTTCAGTGGGATTGTGTTAGTCTTTTCTTCATTGACTTGTTGGCTGTTGATTTTTCATATATAGCTTGTATAATATTGAGGAATTTTCCTTCCATTCCTATCTTATTGAGTATCTTAAACAGGAATTGGTGTTAGATGTTATCCAATGCTTTTTCTGCATATATCGATATTATCATGTGTTTTGTTTTTGTTTTTGAAGTTTCATATAAAGGATAAAGTTTTTATTATTATTAAAATAAGTTAAACAAGATTATTTACTCCCTACATTAGAAGTACATAGTTATATTGAAAATTAGAAATAATCTTGTTAAATGGAAACATTGATGATTAGAGTCATTTTGATGTTTTCTTTTCAAAAATCTGTAACAAAAGAAAAAACTTTAAAAAACAAATTCCTGTAATCTCCTAAAGCACAGCTTTATTCATATGACTTTAATGCTAGATGAACTTTATTGATACACTACTAGCATCACCAAGTCTACACCCTTCAACT